AGAGAGAGAGAGAGAGAGAGAGAGAGAGAGAGAGAGAGAGAGAGAGCGAGAGAGAGAGAATGAGAGTCATGACTGCATCATCCGGCATCAGAAACCAGACACTGTCTAAATGACCTATTTGTCGACGGATCAAAGCAATTCCCTTCATTACTGACAACTTGTCTGGTTCTTAAGGAGATCTTATCTGTGAGCTTAGCTCCCTTCTGCCAGGCAAAACTGAATCAAATGAGAAATTATCATGGCACCGGGTCTTCGGGGAAAAACAGAGAGGAGGAGATGAAGAGCGGGGAGTGAATAACACAGAGGCGCCGTTGTACCACCACAGTTACTGGGGTGCAGAGGAATTCATGCTCAGTTAGAAATGCATGTTAGCTAACACTTGTATCAAACTACTATTACTTGGATATGTGACTGCAGTGACAGCTGCATGCTGTAGTTATACATGTTTCTATATTTTAACAAGCTGTTCGTATAAAGATCAACACCCCTGTACGCTTCTAATAATTTATCCACCCCATTAGTATACAAGGGTAGAAACAATACAAGAAAAACATTTAAATAACAAGCTTAAACTACAGCACAGCCTCAAAAATGATCAGAGATGATTTATAGTTTGGGATCACTTGTACTACTCTACTGCCGTAGGTTTTGGATGCAGCAGGCACCCACTTTACCCTGCGATCGCAGCACCAAATGTTAGACACATTTAACAACTAGCTAGGGAACATAGTGGAGCCTTCAGCAGCTAAAGAGACGGATATTTCTGCCACGAGTTGGTGGAGATCAAAAGCAGGTATAGCCCATGTGTCTGCTGTAAATAAGCATGATCTCTTTTAAGGCACTATTTATTTATTTTCTTTTGCTTTACATTTTTGGGGAGTAAATAAAAAAAGCAGTATTTAAAAATCTGAAACCAGGATTCCTGCTCTGCCCCTAGCGTAAGCTGAGATAGCTCTGCTCCGGATGTCCCAGTTTGTCTTGGCTGGCTCTTTAAGTGTTTCAAGTTCAAACCTAGGCAACCATGGGCCTCCCTGCTCTGTGTGATACTAAAGCCTGCCTGAGCATATTACCGTTGCACTTGTTTGCCTTTCAGCCCACGCGACTCTCACCCTGGCAGATTAGGCGCTATATGTAAACAAAGAGGAGGAACATGGAGAGGCTTAAGGCTTCAGTATATTCCATTTGAAATACAATTTGGGTTTTTCAGAGACGCCGTCTATGCCAGTATACTCCTTGTGTTTGCAGTTCTGTCCTCAACAGAGGATGGAGGTGCTGTAGAAGCACGTATCTACTCCTTCAAGAGGAGTAGTGAGGATGGAGCTTCAACACATGGTGAAACGACAATCACCTGAAGCTCAATAATAGCAAAACCAATGAGCTGGTGGTGGAGTACCAGAGGAACAGGAGGCCCCCTGACCTGGTTGTCATCAGGGGAGAGGAAGAGAGGAGGATGGACTCATACACGTAGCTTGAGGTCCAAATAAAAAATGAAAGAACTGGACTGGACACTGACAACATGTTCAGACTGTTCTTCCTGAAGAGACTCAGATCAGGTCAACGTGTGTGCAACAGACTCCTGCAGGTCTTCTATCCGTCTGTAGTGCTCTGCTCTCTGTCAAGGCTTGGATGTCGGCCGCTTCAGAAGGCTTGTTGTATCGTGTATTCTGTATTTTTATATGGTCCACATTTCAAACATTAAAGCTTTGCTCTACAGTGGTTTTCTGTAGAATCTATATTTGATTCACAGTATACCTATTCCCTAATCTGCTCTGTAGGCGACCCGACAGGCACATAAATAAAAGAACTGACCAGGTATTTCTGTTCTCTTTCTTTTGTGAGCCGGTCCAAGTATAGGTGTATATTATAGGTTATAACATAATTGAGCTTTCACGTACTTAGAAGCTTTTGAAGTACAGGTATGATTGAAGGTAATCTGCAGTTTAGCATGAATATAGAACCTCAATTACCATATGCAGAGCAGTAAGGTTCCTGGGGCATTGTGGATGAAAAACAATTACCGTAGAAATTATACAATATTTCCATGGGGCTGTACTTTAGATCCT